TGATATTTTACAAAGTACAAAATATCTTCAAAACGTGAACTAACTAAGCTTTCTTATTGTCATTTTCGAATTTAGCAGACGAAAATACATAAGAATTGATTAGTTTCATTTCCGATATAAACAACTCATTAAAATTTGTTGTATAGTGTAATAGGAGGCACATACCGGAACCTGTGAGGATACTTCATCGTGAGACGCACAGCTGCACTGTAATCTGCTACAAGATCTGTACACAGCCGCACAGGCTCAAAGCAATCTGGGTTCCCTGGACACCAGTCACGATGTTTTCGAGACTGTAGTGTTCCTCTTGGATCTCGTACCAACAGCACCACACGAACGCCCAGACTACCAATACAGAAATCCATTGGTTTTAAGTGGACTCCGTTTTCTTGCTGAACATGTGGATTTTCAGGCAATGCTAAGAATATTCAGCATAAATAATAATCTCCTAAATTCTGTCATCCAAAAAGAAACTTCTCTCTCATATACATTCTGAATCATATTATCTGCTGACAATGGCATTTATATAAGTATAGTATTGTCCAGATAAATATATGAAGTACATAGTGACACTCAAAAATATACACATATATTTTAGTGTGGTGACAGTGTTCTTTTTGACTGCCACAGATGGAAAGATAGTTATGAGATTTTCATGGTGGTGAAAATGTTTAATGTGATTTTATAAGATATTATGCTGTATAGCTTTTTATGTGGTTACTAACATTTCTGAGAAATTTTATCAACTTCCATTTTCAGGGTAGACAAGATGGAAGTGATTTGTACTTCTGAAATGTTGGTACTACCTACAATACTACATGGTGTGTCACAAACCAGAAGAGCAGTTGCAAAAATATGATTACATAAAAATAAAATGTAAATACATGTAACAATAATGACTACAAAATTGTTTGATACAGTTTTAAAGAATTATGGGAACAAAAAGATTCTTGTGAATACTTATTAATAATATTTCTCCCCATGCTAATTCTCAGTAACAATTCTGAAAATTTAAAGTTTACAGAATGAAGCCACATTTATAAATCATTGCTCTTTCATTCCATAAACATATTAAATGCCAAACAAGTGGCAACATTAAAATTAGTTTTATGCTCCAATGGAAAATACAAAAACAGTGATGTATGTCTTCTGGGCTGTGACGCAGTGTAGACTCAAGACACCAGTACTTTGGAAAAACATAATGTCTTCATCTTTAGGACTGAAACATTGGTATCTATCTATGCATCTACATGGCATCATAACCCAGAAGAACATCATCATTATCCTCACTACCATGAGAACATCAAATCTCACATTAGAATACTATTTTAATTTTGGCATTATTAATTATTTCATCAGTATACCTGGGATCTTCCAAGAGTTCCTCGATTAGACTAAGTCTAAGTCGCACAACCTTCATGCTCTGGAAGGGGAATAAACGACAGAAGGGGTTCAGGAACTCCGGCAGCCAGCACAGAGACGGGTGTTGCTGGCACTGATCCCACAACCGTGTATTGTGGTTGAATAGCCAAACATGTTCTTTTCCATAGTTCAAGTAGTGATCTGCACATTAAAAATTACTAAGTATTGAAGAAAAAAGAAATAAAAGATCTGTTATGATATTCTTAACATATAAGAACAATAAAAAGAATAAAAATTGCTTAAATGCATATCTCTCAGATTTTATGTTGCATTTTAACTGGCACATCACTAGTCTTAATAAATTAAATACCAAATTCCCATTCACTTCATTAATGAATATTAGTACGTTGTATCAATATTTTTATTATTACTTTACATTTATAGCCTATTAACAACAGAAGCACGTCAGATGAGGTGAAGCACCTGTATATAAAAACGTGCTCACAACTTTAACAAGACTGTGGCATACCCATGTTTGTATAGTTGCATTTCAGGAGATTTCTGAGATTTCTTATTGCCCCAGAAGCAAAAGGTTCGCCACGGATTTGAACAATGTCATAGTCAAGCAATGGCTCATAGTGATAGTAGTTGCCAGGGTGACTGTTCAGCACATCACCAAGGAATGTTGAACCAGATCGCCATGTTGTGATGATCAAACTTCGAATTGGTGTTCCACCCATATCCTGTACCAGCTCATCTAGTGACCTACAACATTAAAATAATATCATGCTCTGAACTTTGTTGTCAAATACCATACTGCTGGTCTAGTGACTAGGTTAGGTTATGTTAGGTTATAGGCTTGTTTACATTGCCCCTGTTCCTATAAATACATAAAAAGATGTGTCAGGATAATGACAACAAATCATGTGAAGATTACAGTAGAGTCAACTCCCAGAACAGCATTTATATGAAATACATCTCAACCAGTGGGCAATGTAAAATATAATGAATCAACCACTGCCAGAAATTTTTAATCTTTTGAACTAGTCTAAAAAATGGTAATACAAACTGGATTAAAATGACTTTGTGTAAGGTCTAATAGCAGACTTTATTTCTACTGGTAATGTACCTTCATGTTCCATAACATAATATTCCTTGAATAATGGCTGGATAAAGTTACTGTTCAATAGAGACAACTAACAAATGCACCTTACTTACCTATTTCTTGGCAGGACTTCAGTGCTACTAACATAGTGACAGTTCATACAAAAGCAAAAGTCTTTCTCCCCAATAAAACATACCTTCCACATATTTAGAAATCAAAGTTTGGGATTACATACATCACAGTCTCGGACATGTTCTAATGCAAGTCTGTTGCAAAGTAAAGACTTGTGACATTGCTGGGGTTTACAGTGGGTACAACTGCAGTGAGTTTTATGACTTACAAAAATATGCTTAAAATTAACTTATTTAACTGTATCAAATATAATACTTAGACTAGTATAACTCAGCCAATATTGGTAATAGTTGGATAAAATGGAAGTCTCACTAGGACCACAAGTACAAACCTTGCAGAGACGTTGTAACGGCCAGCAGGGTAAGGGTAGTCCAGCATCTCCTCTGCAATGAGGCGTCGCTGCTCATCCACAACCTCCTCGATCTCAAGTGTGTAATTGTTTTCAGAATCCACTTCATTGCTCGACCAACTCTGCTTCAAAATCAGTATGGAGATAATTTAGTGACCATTCATACATTGGTAAGGGTAATACAAAAACAATTTTGTTATCATAACATGTTTTCAGGATCAAGATGTTTCTTTTTTGTTCACCTTTTGCAACATGTTCACATGCAATATGTCTGGTTTAAGCATGTGGAATCAAACACTATGGCAGATATGTGGTTTTACTCAATTTCTGGCAGCTCAAGTTGACAAACCAATGAATATTTGTAAGATCTGAGGTTTTCACAGCAGTGAGTATGAAGATTTCTGTCTTCTGGGTTGTTGCGCTGTGTAGTCTGGTCGATGTTTACCAGCGTTTCAGAGGTCATACTGCCTCCATCATCAGGGTGATGAATGTGCCAATAGGGTGTGTGGGGCTAGCACATTCATCGCCCTGATGATTAAGGCAGTATGACCTCAAAAACGTTGGTTAACATTGACCAGACTACACAGCGCAACAACCCAGAAGACAGAAATCTTCAATGAATATTTATGGCATGAAGATCATATTCTATGTCATATGCTTATATGAAGATGGAGCATGTAAGTGGATGTAGAAGTTGGATGATGTTCTACATTCAGGCCAAGCACAATTTGTCATTACTTGTGATATTATTGTGGAAACAGCCGATGAATAACGCAGGACAATCACCAGTAACTTGATAACTTACTATGACACTGAAATTTGGTGCTGGTTTGGTCTGTGAGGAACTGGAATTCAACAGAGAATATGCATGTTGGGTGTTGATATGTAAAATAAAGCAGATATGTCTGAACACATGTCAAGTCTTACTGGCCCACTATGAAGCAAAAGTTGATGACTTTTAATGAATCACAGCAGGTAGTCGGTCATGAGTGCACAAATTCCAGGATGGGCCCAAATGAGCCAGTAAGGAATGGTACAAGTTGGATTTGAGGTTTGAGATTGAGGCAGTGAGTCCAAAGATTAGTGAGTCTTCTGGGTTGTAACCCTGATGATGAAAGCAGCAAGGCCCTCTGGAATGTTGGTTAACTACCGGACTATACGGCACTACAACCCAGAAGACAGCCATCTTCCATTGTTGAAAACTGTCCAAATAATGGTAGACTGTCTTATTTAGGTTAATATAATTGTACTTCAGTGGTAAAAAAGTAGTGAATTAACTTAAGTCCAAATAAACCCAATTAATGCCAATATGAATAAAGTTAAAATAATGCATAAAACTGCACCAAAAGACTGGTATCTCACATTGTTTATATACATTATTGTAACATTTAAGAATGAATTGAATAGAATTTAATTGGATGTACTGAGCTGTTAATATATTACGTGGTCTAATAAAGACTATTCCCGTCTGGGTTCATTAATTATCCAGTAATATTTATATTAATCTTGTAGCACCTCTCTGCCATTCACTCTTTACTTTGATCAGGTTATGGCATGAAGATCATATTCTATGTCATATGCTTATATGAAGATGGAGCATGTAAGTGGATGTAGAAGTTGGATGATGTTCTACATTCAGGCCAAGCACAATTTGTCATTACTTGTGATATTATTGTGGAAACAGCCGATGAATAACGCAGGACAATCACCAGTAACTTGATAACTTACTATGACACTGAAATTTGGTGCTGGTTTGGTCTGTGAGGAACTGGAATTCAACAGAGAATATGCATGTTGGGTGTTGATATGTAAAATAAAGCAGATATGTCTGAACACATGTCAAGTCTTACTGGCCCACTATGAAGCAAAAGTTGATGACTTTTAATGAATCACAGCAGGTAGTCGGTCATGAGTGCACAAATTCCAGGATGGGCCCAAATGAGCCAGTAAGGAATGGTACAAGTTGGATTTGAGGTTTGAGATTGAGGCAGTGAGTCCAAAGATTAGTGAGTCTTCTGGGTTGTAACCCTGATGATGAAAGCAGCAAGGCCCTCTGGAATGTTGGTTAACTACCGGACTATACGGCACTACAACCCAGAAGACAGCCATCTTCCATTGTTGAAAACTGTCCAAATAATGGTAGACTGTCTTATTTAGGTTAATATAATTGTACTTCAGTGGTAAAAAAGTAGTGAATTAACTTAAGTCCAAATAAACCCAATTAATGCCAATATGAATAAAGTTAAAATAATGCATAAAACTGCACCAAAAGACTGGTATCTCACATTGTTTATATACATTATTGTAACATTTAAGAATGAATTGAATAGAATTTAATTGGATGTACTGAGCTGTTAATATATTACGTGGTCTAATAAAGACTATTCCCGTCTGGGTTCATTAATTATCCAGTAATATTTATATTAATCTTGTAGCACCTCTCTGCCATTCACTCTTTACTTTGATCAGGTATTTTATAGTATCTCAAGCAAAAACCCATTTTTGACGTAAATACGTCTATATTTTAGGGTCAGTATCATTCGGCAAAAAGTGTTACGAAATAGTGTTACGAAAAAGTGTTACGAAAAAG